AAAATTCACATGGGCTCACTTTCCTGCCCATTGATTTCAATGTATATGTTTATGGCAGCAATATTGGGCTCCTTGTTCTTTAAATGCATGTTCTTCCCTGTGTCACTAATGATGCCTTGAATTATTAAAGGACAATTTTAAAAAAAATCTTGTTTCTTATGCACTATTTATGCTGTCACCTTCTATTGTGCGTTTCACTCTGTTTGCGCAATGAAGACAGATGAGTCCATTTCTAATCATTTTGATTTCCTAATTGTCACATTAGCAAGAATGTGGGGTTGAAAAAATGGCTAAGGAACTTTATTCCTTTAAAAATAAATAATTTCTATCAAAACTGAAATTTAGAATACCAAGGCAACAACATCTAGGCCATACTTCACTGGCTTGTTTTTTACTAAACCAACATTCGGCGGCTGAGCTATCTTTCACCTACGCACCCTGAACACAGGGGTCCAGAAGCCCCTTTCAGCCGTGCAAGGATGTGGTCATTTAAATGAATAGGGCTGACACCAAATTCTTTTCTCAGCCTTGTCACTACCTTGAGTATTTTGGATTACTAGTGTTGCGTATCCTGACTTCTGAATGTTCTTTAAATGTGCCCACTTTACACAGATTATTATTTAAAAATTAAGACCTGATTCTGCAAACCCTTAAAATGGGACATGTTTACATGATTAGGGATTACAGTTATGCAGGAGCAAGCCATAAAATTGTACCTTTTACTTATAAAAATGTACATTAATGTTATGCATTAGCAACATGTATATAGCTGCTTAAAAATACTGTTTTATTTCCCAGTGGTAGTGAATAGACAAAAAGTTTCCTCTGTCCTTAAGTTTCTCCCCTGCTCTATTGATATATGTTGTAGCTATATATAGACACGGTGAATAATCACTGGGCTTTCATCTGCCTTTCAGGCTAAAGAATGGCTAAGAGAACAAGGAAGAAAACAAATGCTAAGAGACGGCTGTAACAATCCTAGTTAAGAAGCTGAAGACGATAATCATTTTTAAACAGTACTATGGGCTGGCTGCACAGAATGCTATGACTACTTTGTTATAACCAGAGTCCCCTAGATTTTCAGAATTCAGAGCAGGCTTCAGAAACCAGCTTTGTCTGATTCCTGAAATGGAATGTATGAAACACTGACAGCAATCTCTTAACTGTGGCTCTTCTTACCGCTGGCTTATCCAGTGTTTCTGAAATGGGGAGATAGAACAAGTGAGAGCCAGCAAAACTAGAAGACTGTTGGGAGGAAAATGAAGGGGAAGAAGAAATGGAAGAGAAGAGGGTGAGGAAGACAGAAAGCAGAGTGCAGGAGAATGAACAAACAGGGAGGTCTGTTTTAAAACATGCCTCTCTCCACTCCCAGCCCCCAACTGAGAATCACAGAATCCCATTCAGTTTTGGGGATAACCATTATTGCTTTGTGTCTAAAGTAGAGGTCTGGGAATTGGGAGTCTTGGCTTATATTTCCCAGCATGCCAAAGGTCATACAGTGACTTCACTGTTGCAACCTCAGCTTCCTCAGCTGCAGAACCAAACATGCAGCACTGAGATTCCGAAACATATTTCAAACCACCTGCTGACATTACAATCATTAAATGTTGCTTATGTGCTAGTTGGCTAGAACTGTGTAACTTTCTTTACATGCACATAACATGTGGGGTTTTCTGAAAATTTATAGTCAGTGGATTCTGCCAGCACATGCAAGTGATGCATAACTGACAACAAATCTATAAAAACACTGCTGCAGAAATGATCCGTGAAACACTGGTGAATTTCAGGGACCCTGTTTATAATTGAGGCCCAGAGAGCTTGTATCTCATCTTCAACTGTTTCCATCTGACTAAAAGCTCAACTGTACACATCTTTGTTCTCTGAGTTCACATTCAGGATGTTGTAATCCCTAGCTGTTTTCAGTGGAATTCAATTAATAATCATTGCAATAACACTACACACCAATTCATTTCCGGAGCTCCAAATAATGTGTGGTTTCTCCCTTCCTGCAGCTATAACATTCAGGGTGAAGTCTTTCTGCTGTATTCCTATTTACTTGCTCACGAGTAAGACAAGCAGAGTTTGGCCAACAAATAAATTAATAGGAAAGAGAGCAGGGTCATGAAGATGGATGTATCTCTTCTAAAATATATTTCCTGAAGCTTTACAACAGCCTGAAAGTTTGTGAATGGGATTGGCTAAAGAGTTAATGAGATGATCCGTATTGTAATTGCATTGGATCTGCTTTCTGGTATGGCTTTATATGCTCTAGTAAATAGGGCATTGGACTGAGAGTTAGGAGTGTGTGTTCTGTTCTGTGTACAGACCTGCTGTAACACCCAGGGAAGTCACTTCTCTTCTTTGTGCCCCAGTCTTCCCCATCTGCAAAATGAAGATAATGATGATAACTTCATTCCATTGTAAATGACATGGAGACCTACAGAAGAAGCATTATAGAACAATTACAAATTATTCCCTGTTTGACAAGATTAATAATTTAGGCATTATCAGGTCAAACATTAGCCCAGCTGCATATCTGTGGATCTATTTCATTTTGCAAGGAAGAATTGCAAAATTATGTGTGTTGAGATGTGATCTTTGTCCAATTCCACTTATTAGTTTTCTTGCTCGCTCTCATTTTCTGGAAATCCAGAAGGCCTCCCCAGGGAGCTTCCTGTTGCTCATTCCCAGGTGTTTGATAATAAAAACCTGTTCAGTGGGATAAGAAACCCCTAAGTGCATCCCAGAATCCAGCACTTGGACAGTGCCCAGCATTACATGGGCTGTTTTGCTCTCTGACTTACATCTGTTCGATACTAGCTACACCAACATTTGTACTATTACGTCTGCATTTTCAACATGGCTGCCACAAGACCCATGGATCCCATGATTTCATACTGTCATTGCTATTTTTACACATGCTCTGTGGTAACTGAAGATCAGAATTTTCAAAGCTGACAAGTTACACCCTGCACAAAGTCCAGAGTTTAAAAGGGAACAAGACAATTCATAATTAGGGCTAGTTGTCCATTACTGGAGGAGCAGAAAGAGATCATGAATCCTGCTTTTAGGAAAAAATCATGGCACATGTATATAGTTGATATTAAAAAGACAGCTACTGCTGCTGCCTTTGCCAAGGCTGAATCAGGAAAGTAGAGATGAAGGTGGGGCCTGAACTAGCAGTGACTGATATAGATGGTTTAAATTGTTTTCAGCTAAATAAATTAATGGAGATCTCCCATCTCCTAGAACTGGAAGGGACCAGGAAAGGTCATTGAGTCCAGCCCCCTGCCTTCACTAGCAGGACTAAGTACTGATTTTGCCCCAGATCCCTAAGTAGCCCCCTTAAAGACTGAACTCACAACCGTAGGCTTAGCAGGCCAATGTGCAAACCACTGAGCTATCCCTCCCCCGTAGCTAATAACTAAATGTCATTTAATGGGCTTTGAACACTTTTTGTTTGCAAATTGTACGCTATTTTAATTAAAATAATGTGACCTGTGATTCTTAGCACTGTCTACTATTAAAATGATTACTTTTTCTGCTCCATATAATTTGCCATGACAAACCAAGAATCCTCATTAATATTTTGTATGTATTTCTAAGGCAACCACCCCACAAACACAATGTCATTTATAAATATGGCCAGTCCCTTGAAGAACCAAGTTCTCAGTCTATCCCCCTCAGTAATAAGGCTGCATATATTTAAATGGAAAAATAATCCAGGTATGGCTTGTTTCCCAGGACATGCAGCCAGGGCTATTCCACAAATGAGTTATGAATCAGAACCCCGTTAAAGAAATGAGTTTAAAATCATACCCTAGAGAAAGGCAGACTGGCTCAGCCCAATTTACCTCTATACAGCACACACCTACTATTTTCTCTGTTTGCTGCTCTAAAATTGACAGAAAAAAAATTGTGAACTGTATAACAGAGGTCTATAGAAAACATGCTTAATCCCACATTCCTTCCCCCAACGGAAATTTTGCATGATGGAGTACAAATCAGCCCCAATGTTTGTACATGCAAAACAATAAATTTGACATTTTGGAGGGAGCTGGGTGACATATGGGGTGACCAAACTGGACTCTTGCTTGTGACACAGGAAAATTGAAAGGCAGGATAATATAATAAAAGTGAAATTCACCTACCCAATCTCATTTATTTAGACGGATGTTCCCTCAAGCTGATTATTCACAAAGGAGATTTCAATTACTACCTTTATTTTTTTAAAATAAATCCTACAAAAGCAGAAATCTCTTACAAAATACTATAAATATGAATGAGGAAAGGAAGTGGCTTTCAGATAATACAGTGCCATTATAAAGCACCCAGTTAGACAGCTATACCACATCTATAATATAAAGTCTAAATGGATGAGTATGAGTTCTACAGACGACTCAAATAGACATACCCACGTGCTACACAAGGCCCAGAACCAGGAAAGACTTACACATTTGGCTTTATGCACTGAGTAGTTCTATTGACTTCAACCAAACTACTCACAGTGCAAAATCCTAAACACCTTCCTCGGCCTTTGCAGGATCAGGACCTAACAGAGTTACCAGAGGTATGCCAATGAGACCCTGCATTACCTCCTAAAGCCCAGAATTATACCTAAACACTACATTATTTGTGAGATTCCTTTTCTCTGTCTCATTTTTTCTTTCCTCCATTGTGATAGGACATATTTGGCATGACATCTATACTACTTAAACAATTGTTTCCTTTTGTCTGCACTTCTAACGAAAATTAAATAAAATGAGGTGCTCCCTAGATTTTCAAAGGCGAGGGCCAATGGCATAAAGCATTTCTCTCCCCCCAGCAGACAGAATGAATTTCTCTCCAAGCAGTTCATGTTTTCCACACGGAAAGCACAAAGAGAACTGGACACATTGACCCAGCTATAAAATAGCTCCCGCCCCTGCGTGCACCTCACTTGACTGCCCTGGCCAGTCCCCCCAGTGAAATCAGAAAGCTGGGCAGGTGAGAGGTGTTTGCAGGACCGGCAAGCGAGAAGTATTAGCATCCGCGCTGAGTAGCTTTAAAACCCCGCTCAGAAGGCCAGATTTTGCCGCGTGTTTGAACGGGGAGCTGGGTCTGGGCGGCAGCGCCGGGGGGTTTTCATGGGCTGCCAGCGGTGCCTAGCTCTGCTCGCACTGTGCGTGCCTACAGCTAAGGGAGCCCCGCTGACCCGCCCCTAGCAAACACCGCCACGCAGCCCGCACTCCCCAGTCTGACCCCGCAGCGAACGGGGCTCGGCGCTGGCTGGGGGGCCACTAGGGACCGGCCTGGGGGCGGGGGGAGGTGGCAGCTCCTCCTCTCGCTCTCATTGGTGCCTGCAGCAGCGGTAGCAGCCGGCGGTGGGATGAGGAGTCGACAGGGAACTGCTGCTGCTGCTGGACCCGGGGCCGCGCTGGGCGTGGGCAGCCTCCGCATGTGAGCGGGGAGCAGGCGGTCGGCCCCGGAGCCATGTACTCCGGGAACAGCAGCAGCGCCAGCAGCCAGGCGCCCGGCCCGGGGCAGCAGGAGCAGCGGGAGGACCTGCCCCTCTTCAGCCCCAGCACCTACGAGCTCCTGGCGCTGCTCATCGCCACCATCGGCATCCTGGGCTTGTGCAACAACCTGCTGGTGCTGGTGCTGTACTACCGCTTTCAGCGGCTGCGCACCCCCACCAACCTCTTCCTGCTCAACATCAGCCTCAGCGACCTGCTGGTCTCGCTCTGCGGGGGGACCCTCACCTTCGTGTCCTGCCTCCGCAGCCGCTGGGTCTGGGACGCGCCCGGCTGCGTCTGGGACGGGTTCAGCAACAGCCTCTTCGGTAAGGGGGAGGGGAGGAGACCGCACGCCCCCAGCTCCCCCATCACCGCCTCCCCCCACATTCCCCATCCACCTCACCGCCCTCCACCCTCCATTAACACCCCCGTCACCCCATTCCCCACCTCACCCCCACTCATTCCCCACCCCTCGCCCCTATTCCCCACCCCCATTCTCCACCTGACCCACCTCACCCCACTTCCATTCCCCACAAGCCTGCTACCATCCACCTACCTACAATCATCTTTTCCCTCATTTCACTTCCTAACTCAAACCTCCACCCACACCACTTTATCTACTTCCACCATCATCCTCCCCATCTCAATCCCCTTACCACCTACTTCTACGACATGCTCTACCTTATCTCCACCCCACCATCTCCAGCTCCCCCATCTGCATAACCTTGTCTCTATACCACACCCAGGGACCATCTCAAACTAGCATCAATGTATTTTCCCCACATCACTACTGACCTTATGCCATTTTATCTCTCCACTACCGTATCCCACCAATTTCATCCTCTTATTGATACTAGTCCCTTTTTCCTCCAGCACCTTTTCCCCTTATTAAGTATCAATAATGTCCAGAAAGGCAGTTTTAGTGTGAAGTCCTGGCCAAAAAGATGGTTTCCATGAAAAGGGAATAGGGGAAAACCTGCAGTCTCTGCTTACTGTGCTTTTAGTATGTCAGATGCTAATGCTTGAAAGTAGAAAGTTTGTTTCCTGATTATAACATTTACCAAAAGCAAGCTCAAAGACTGGGACCTTCTGCATGGAAATTTACTTGTGTAGGGTAGTTATTATAGCCTATACCCCTTTTCGGTAACTTTTATTATCAGAAAGAAAACTCTTGACAATTAATCAGGAAAGCTATAAAGGAATCAGAGAAATGTACCTCACCATCCCCTCCCTGCTGCCAGAAGGGTCTAAGCAAGCTGTTTAGAAAATATAGAAACATCTTCAAAGAAAAGTCCTTGACTTATTTGAACATTGTGTGTCATCACTCCTAATTTGTAAGGAAAAACAAAACCTTACAGAGAAGGGAAAATTATAACTTTAATGACACACCGGAGGCATCTCTGACCATCCAGACATCCGAGAAATCTGAATAGCATGGGGGCCACATCACAATATCAGGAAATTTAGAAGTCAGCTAGGTCTTTGTCTAGGAAGTTATCCAAAACATGGAACATCCAAAACATGTTTTTTCCACTCTCTGTATTAATTCTGAAGACACACCAGTATTCTTGATTTGCCTGATTTATTAAAAAAATAGCATTAGTAACAGAAGTGTAATTTTTGATGCTGCTCTTATCTTGAATGTTCACTTCACCCACATGAGAAACAAGTATTATTATGAAGTACGATTTTTTGTAGTGATAAGTGTTTCTGAAACTAGTATTTACATTTTTTAAAAAAGACAAAGTAAAATATGAAAGATGTTAAACTGTCTCTAAAAATTACTTATGGAAGTCTGATAAAACACAGGATGTATTCTATCAGTGCAAGCTGCTGGAAAGAAGACAGAGTTTTTCTTTGGTGATTTAATAATGTTGTAAAAAGATACAGCAATTACTGTAAACAATCATAGAAGTAGTTAGAAAGCCAATAACCATATTTCAAATTCTTATCAGAAATTCTTTGACACACTTATAAAATACAGAGATATAGGTAGGTGTGTGCACAAAAAAATATGCATCTGCTCTACAGTCTACCTCCAATAAGCAACCCCTTTATAAGATTTCCAAACTTCCTAATATTATTTTATTTTATCTTTAGCTATAGTTCACCTTTAGTAGACAACCCATTTGGTGGTGGATTAGCTGATCACTTATGACTGATTTCACTAATGCTATTAACAGTGGAAATGCTTGTGCAATGGAGGGATGTTGTGGGTGCAAGATGCAATTAGACTGCAAACTCACTAGAATAGGAACTATTTTACCGGTACTTGTTTTGTATGGTGCTAGGCACATTCTCGGGGTCTTAAAAGTAAACCCAGTGCTTGCCATGATAGTAGGACAGAACCCTACTAGCATAATGTTATCTACGTCAGTCAGGTATTTCAGACACTTAAAAAAAAACCATGCATCTACCAGTGTTTGTTTTGCATGTGACCTCATCCAGAGAGTTTACCATTACATTTACTTAAGCAATTTAAAAATTCCATTCAATTTACCATCCTTTTTCTCACATATTGCACTGACTTCCAATGGCTACAACTTTTTATATTTTTGTATTTAAATACATTTCCAAAATATAAAATACACTGTAGAGATCGATGTGAAAAAGCTATAATCAGATCATCATCTTCAAAAAACACCACACATTAAAACCGTAAGTATACATTGCCAGGATAAATGCACTATTATCTATAGTTGAAATCATTTTCATTTCCTTTCTGGAAGTGTTAATGGCTTGTCTTTTTTAATATATCCATTCAATTATGACTGCTAAATTTTCTGCGCTTTAAAAATACAAAAACAACACACACACACACACACCATTCACACAAATACAACCACACGCCCACATAGAGTTGTTCCAGAAATTAAGAAATACTTTTAAGGCTGCATCTAGAAGCTGGGCCAGTGTTTACAGTGTGTATCACTGATGCACATAATTACTTTCCCCTAGAATTTTCTTCCTCCTTGAATTGCCTATTGTATTGCCTGATGGAATCTGATATTTTAATGCATTTTGTTCAATTTCCACATAAAAACAAAATCATTTAACTATATGTATATATAAATAAAACCTGACTGACTATCTTAATCTGAAGGTACTCTAAATTACAGCTAATCTGAATTTTGCACATACTATTATCTCCCCCCGCCCCATAACTGTAGAAAGAAGACTGTATAATCTAGACACACATGAAAAAGAACAGAATAGCCAGGCTGTATGTTTACAAATACCTGGCACTTTAAAAACAGGTGCATTCCAGACTACCAAAATTATTGAATAGGAAGAGTTTCACTTACACATTGCATGTTAGTGACTTCTAAAGTGGAATTCTGACTTTGTCATGTCCACCATGGCATCTGTCTAAATGTGAATTTAGTGCTCAAAAAGAAGTTGAAAATTGACAGTTCTAAATTTTCTGAAGTTCATGTCCTTTTGTAAATAGACCAGGTGCAGCCTTGCACATTCCATTCTCTCACTATGCCATGGCATAGTGGCCTAACAGAGTCATTTCTAGGTGAACAGGTAGTTCAATTGAAATTGAACAGGTAGTTCAATCATCACAGATATTGAATTCTTGGCCTCGCAAGTACCAATTAGTTTTTGTGTTGTTGACACCTGTCCACTGAGAACTTGACACCTGTCCACTGACTGACGAAAAGACATTTAGCTGTGATCACTATTGTTTGTGCTCACATCTTAAATATAGACCTAGGCATTCCTCCCTGGCAGAATAGAGGCTTATTGCATTATCTTATCACCTACAAAGGCCAGGTTTCAACTATAGTGATCTCATTATATCCTCTAGAAGAATTTACTACCATCACAAAACCACCACACAAATTTAGGGCTGACCTACAAATAGGATATTATAGTTAAGCATTTGGGATTGAGTTATATTAACCAAGCAGACTGCAGAACATCAGCCCACTCTATCTATGCCTGCTCTGTGGCTTTCTACTAAGACATAGTTACATGTAAATCCTCTTTTCTCATTCTTCACCTCTTGTGCTCACAGATTTTCCCATTGTAAACTTGAACGGTCTTCAGTTGAAAGGCCCACATTCTAGGGTGGAGACAATCTTAGATATCAGAGTTATATTCTTCACTTATTTCTTCACACACCACTTTTGCACAAGTCAGCTAAGTACTATAGGCTAAGATTTTCAAAAGTGATGAGTGATTTTTGGATGCCAATTTAAGCCATTTTAAGACAGTGGGTCTGATTTTCTGAAAGTGGGTTCATGACCGTTTCTGAAAACCAGATCCTTTTAAAGATGGGCATCCAAAATCACTAGTTTTCAGTCTTATTTTAAACAAAGTTGTTTTTACAAAACTGCTATTGGTTATACTGTACTTTGAAGATAGATATCAAAATGCTTCTGTGTTCAACTAGAGCATATCAGTAGTACATGATAGCTATGGCATGTACAAAAAAGACATTGAGACAGCATCTGCATTTTGTATGGCATATTCTAGTTTACCATGTAATTTCTGAGAGGTTATTTCACAAATATAAGGATACTTATTTCTGTTGGGATTTTGGAACAGTGCACTTTTAAAAGTTCCTGTTTAAAAGAGCCTCTCTTTTTGAGAACTGTTTTGACAGATTGCAGGTATCTTAGCTCCAAAACTTAGTCTTTGTCAGCAAACTCCTCATTCTAAGGTTTTTCAGTCAGGGGAAAAGTAACAGGGCTTGGAACTCAACTCCAGTGAAAGTTGAGTGACTCAGGGTCCAATCTGATCCAGGGATATACAGAGTGATTTCTTATGCATTTCCTGCAGTACTCTACTTTTGCATTAATTTTGGTCCATTAGCTGACAAGACCATGTAGCAGTGGCTACTCCCCAGGCAGTAATAGGTTGCTCGGGGCCTGCTGTTCACTCTACCAGGCTCTCAGTCTGCTATTATCTTTGGAACCAGGAAGGGTGGTTATTGGTTTGGAAAATAAAGGAATTTATTTTCCAAACTGGAAGTACTCTGTGTGATAGACTCCCAAAATCTTAAATCATCCGCAATGTAGGACTAACTTTGTTCTTGTTTCATGAATAATAATCCATTCCTGATTAATTTTTTTCTGAGCAGATCTCTCAGATCTGAAGTCCGATGAAACTTATCTGTATATGTATTCACAATGGGGACTATGAAAAGAGTGGGCATTTACACCATTACTGTGCCACCATCTGCAGGATTCCCTATACTTAGGGTGGGAAATAATATGGTAAATTGAATTACTACTCTTGAATTTTTAAGTGACTTTTACATTAGCTTTCCCAGATTGTAGCCCCCATCTAGTCCATTCAATTGTGTGGAGCCACAGTGGTTCCAATATGATGGGAAG